TACCTGTGCACAAGAGAAGTGCAGGCACATGTGAGAAAGGTATACTGAGGGCATTTCAGTGAGTCATGGCTATCCTTGACTTCACCTGGTAGTCAAGGAGGACAAAACGCTGTGAAACCAGAAGCGAGGTTATAACATGGACCACAGATTGGCAGCTACACTCCTCTAATTTAATCTTTAATATACCAGGACGGTTTAATTAAATACTTTATGTTGGCAAGAGCAGTCATGTGCCCAGTGAGAAATCACTCTGCCTCACCCGACAGTATCGGTTCTCATTGGGTCCCTTAGGCCCCAAGCATGGGCTTTAATGCAACCACACAACATATGGCAGAACCAAAGGCTTACTACCTAAATCAAAAGGTCATTGAAGTCATTAATTTAGTGTGCATCTCTTGATTCCTTGATTGGGTTCCATGACTACATTTCAATTGGTGCTGTGTTTCCAAAGTTCTTTTGAAGGGGTACTTTGTTTTCCATTCCTTAATCAGAACACTTCATAATACTCCAAGTCTTTATTTCCAATTTTTGGCAAGGAATATGTCTTTGATATTCCTTGTAACTGTTACTTCAGTTTATAGGCTGGGGAAAAGTGAAATTCTGGTCATTCAGTGTATGTTGCATTAGGGAATATCCAGCTTGAGATTTAAGTCTTCGGAGAGCACTCTGATGACCTTCATATGTCCATCAGATAAACTATTCCAGATAAAGATATGCTAGCACTTTCAGTTGCTTTAGAAGTTAATGGAGAGCCAATAACAATAGCTACCAGATCATCACGTACGTTTTGGAACTCCTTTCCTAGCACATGAAAGAGCTCTGATGGCACAGTGGTTAAGGCATTTGGCTTCTAACTCAGAGGTCAGCAGTTGGAATCTACCAGCTGCTCCATGGAAGAAAGATGTGGCAATTTGCTTCTGTAAAGATTTACAGCCTTGGAAACCCGATGGGGCAGTTCTACTCTGCCCTAAAGGTTTGCTGTGAATCAGAATTGACTTGGAGCTATAGGTTTGGGTTTTTCTAGCATATGAGCTCTTACTAAAATCTATACAATTTGAAGCCTCAAAATAGATTAAAATGGAGTTATCCTTAATGGTATTGTCAAAATGTGCTTAACCTGGCACTCAGTCCTACATCATGTATTTTGACTTCTTGCTCATCTAACGTGCTAAACCAAAATAAAAAGCTTGACCTGATTTAAGGGAAGTATGTTAAAGGTCATGATGACTAAGACCCTTATGAAAACTGTGAAGTCAGGTCCTAGGCTTATGCCCCTGAAGAACAATGGGCTACCTTGGTCACAGGGTATCTGGTACACATGCCATTGGTTACCAGAGAAACTCGGCCAAGGCAGGAGGTCAGTGTCAGACTAGGAGGCAGACTACTTCAAAACACGAGCTTTCCTGATGGTACAAGGTGGTCTTCATCTAGAAGGACTCCCACCCTGGAAACACATGCTTTCCCTATAAGAGCATATCAGAGTTCAAAAAAGACCTTCAACTGCCAACAAAGTTTAAAATCTGTTTTTTGTTTAATATTATTTAGAATTTCCCCTTCTATTGACCATATTTTTTCTTATGCTGCCACCACCAAAATTCCCTGAAAGAAATGTAGGTTTCTAGGAGCTCTGGTAGCCTAAGTCACTTGACTGCTAACCAGAAGGCTGGTGGTTCAAACCTACCAGCCACTCCTCAGAAGGTAGGTTGGGCAATCTACTTCCATAGTGATACCGCCTCAGAAACCCAAGGAGGGGTTGCTGTGAGTCAGGTCTGACTCGATGGCACATAACAACAACACATACTTTCTTTGATCTTCAGAGTTCCAGGCTTAGAGAGTTGCAGAGGGTGGTTGCTCTCTGCCTTGGTCACACTGCACATCCTCTTAAAAAAAAAAAAGGTCAAGAGATTTGGCCTCCTTAAGTGGATCCTTTGTACTTTTCCGGTCCTACAAAACAGATTCACACTGAAAGAGATAAACAATAGCTCTGACCCTTATGATTTTTTTAAAGTTGTTGGATTTCAAATATGATTATTCCCATTATTCACCATAAAGGACATAGAGTATGTTCTGAATTGGCAGGTTTCCAGTTGACTTGACCAATAACCCAGTTTTGAACAGAAGTCATTTTGGTGGATTAAGCGTGTTCCTCCATTCTTTCCAATTCTGAATTTGAGTGCCTCCACTTGGTGCTTCACAGTTCTCAAAATGTGTCAGGCATCCAGAGTGTCCCTGCTTTTTTGGCAGTCTGTATACATAAAACCAGTTTGACTAAATTCAGTTTAACTTTTTTAAAATAATAATAATAATACACTAGTACTTGACTGCTAACCAGAAGGCTGGCGGTTCAAACCCACCAGCCACTCCTTGGAAGGAAGGTTGGGCAATCTACTTCCATAGTGATACCACCTCGGAAACCTAAGAAGGGGTCGCTATGAGTCGAGTCCAACTCGACAACATGTAACAACAACAACAACAAATCTAATCAAACTAGTATTCATTTTGATTATTGATGTGTATGCTGTAATAGTCAGTCATTGGCTTGACTAAATTTTCCAGTTTTTTCCAAGAGATATGACTGTCCTGCAGAACTAGCTGGATAACGTCAATTTTCAGGGTCATTTTGGAAAATGATGGAATTGTGCCTTAGTGACAACTGAAAACTTTATCCAACTGATGATATGTTGGCAAGTAGTTCAAGGAGTTTGGGGGGCCTCTTGTAATACTTTGCTTGGCGAATTTCATTTTGCAACTTTGGCCCCTTTCATTGGGGTTTCCTCCCAGAAGTCATCATCTGGGTATCACTATGACAGATCTAAACTAATATGCTTACCTGTGAAATAAAAATTATTTCTTTCCACATATATTGCAAAGGAGAAGGTATTCCAGTTATTTCTTAATCAGTTGACAAGTGCTTCCCTGTCACCATATAGCTGCACATAGTGAAAGATGTAATGCAAAGAAAAATTTATCCTCTTCAAAATCATATTCTTCAAATACTATTCAGAAAGCCATATGGCACCAGTACAGAATTTAACTTAAAGATTCTAATTTGAAATTTACTGAATGTATTCTGTTAGGAAATAAAACTGGGGTAAGAAACTTTTCTTGTTTCTGAAGATAATATTTAAGGTCAGAGCTGTTTAAAAAGAAGCACTACTAAAAAGTTATAGGATTCAGAGAAACGTAGTATTTTTGTACAATATCTTTAAAAATGTCAAGATCTCTCTCTACATTCTCTTTACAATGTAATGTCTCCAAGTAACTGATTTCCCAATAAACTGATTTCAATGCCTCTTCTGCTGTGTTCTGTGTGCTTAATTCAAGCAGAAACTTTATCAAGGAATCATTTTTAGCAGGAAAAAAACTGCCAGGCGGGGCCTTGCATAGGAGGGAAGAGGGTAAACAGGGAGGGGGTGACCGAGTGTCATCTGTGTAGAGGTACTGAGGTGTCTATGGATCCAAGTCGTTGTACCTAAAATTCTTACCCTGGGGGGTTGGGAATCTCCAGCGGTATCTCTTTATTAAGCCCATAATGAAAAAATCCCCCCATCACCCTTTGTCTGGATTCTTCTTGCTTAGTTACATATGCCTTTTTCCTGCCCTCTTGCTAACATGTGCCCAATGACATACTTCTAACCTGCTAATATTTCTTGGAAGGTAAGCTCTCTTGTATTCTGATAATTGTCTATTTGATTTTAAAAGCCAGAACACACTCTACCTAGATAAAAATAAGTTTTCCCGTATTAGAGTTTGCTAATACTTCTGTAATTTCCCATATATTTTACTCCTTCTGCTTAAAGAACTTTATGATGAATTCATTGAAGCAGAGGAGATATTTGCTAACTTAGTAGACTGAAAACAAAACCCCAGGGCAACTCCAGCTGAAGGTGATTTATTTGGTAAAATTTAATTTTGTGTCCCTTCCTTAGAAAATGCCTTCAGTATTCGTATTTCGGGCACTCTTGTGCTCTGTGAATAGTGCTTCTGATGTAAATCATCCAGTAAACTTGGCAGTTACCAAGCAGCCATGTTCTGCTTCTTTTCAGAGGGTCTGTACTCAGATATAGGCAGTGTGGAGCACATGGCCACATGCTGGTTCCTGAATTGAGTTCATCCTCAGACAGTGTTTTTACATAATCCAGAACTGTCATGGTATATGTGGAGATGAGTGACTGGGTTTGTTTTCATTCTGTTTTGAGCCAGTGCCAGGTAGAGCAGGTGTCAGCACCTGGCCCTGTGAGTAGGAGCATTGCATCGTCACGCTCAATGTCTGTGTGCCTAACATCGTCATCTCCTTTCCTGCACATTGTGCCTGTTATGTTCCAAAACGTGAGACAGTGATTGGTTGTGTTCCAGTTTGTGTGCAGTTTCCTTGCCTGACTTTTAATTTTCTGTTTTTCCTTTTCCATTTTCAACATCTATTATTTGGTCCCACAACGTTTCTGCCGCGGGTTGACCATTAAATGTTCTAGGAATGGAGTTGAACTGACCTGTGCATTAATTCTGCATTTTGTGCTTTTCTAGGTCTCCAGAGAGAGCCCAACCCCTGTCCTGTAATAACTGTAGAGCACTTTAAAGAATCGACAGGTGTTAAAGGCCTTCCCTTGTATCCAGACCCCTCCAGAGCATCTGGCACAAAAACTCAGAACAACTTAGAATCCGACTACTTGGCCCGAGATGGTCCCTCAAGCAACAGCTCATTCCATAGCAGTGAAGAGGAAGGGACTGACCTTGAGGGGGACATGCTAGACTGCAGTGGGTCTCGACCTCTCCTTATGGAGTCTGAAGAAGAAGATGAGAGCTGTAAGCCTCCCCAGGGGAAGCTGGGAGGATCCATTCCATTCACTCAGCCGAAAGTCTCTACTGAGCAAGCAAAGACAGTACAAGATGGGAGAAAGAACCAGTTCCAAGCCCTCACACAGCCAACCACTGATGGTCTCAGTGAGCCAGATGTTTTTGCCACAGCCCCATTTAGGAGCTCAAGGGTTCCAAATGATGACATGGACATTTTCTCCAAAGCTCCATTTGTCTGCAAGGGCAGTGTGGTTTCTTCCCAGCCAGAGGAGGCAGATGTGTTCTTGAGAGCGCCTTTTACCAAGAAGAAAAGCATAGAGGAACTAACAGTTGCCCAGAGCACCTCCCAGGAATTGCCTACACAGGCTAGTCTCCTCAGTCAGACGGGTGATGTCCTGACAGGAGTTAGCCCTCTGCTCTCGGGCCTTGATAGAGCCGTGTATCCCTCTGTCCGAGCTCAGTATTCCATGGCTGGTTTTGTCCAACAATCTAACCTCCCCTCCTACTCTGTACAAGCAGCAGACCATCTTGACAGCATCTCTTCCCGAGGATCCTCCCTGGAACTTGGAGGCCATCCTCATGATAGAAACAAAGGACCTCAGCCTCAGAAAGAAGCAGTCTCAAGCCCTGTGTCTGGCAAACCATTCCTCCCCCCATCTTTATCCAAATATTCCCGTCACTATAGCCCAGAAGATGAGCCAAGTCCAGAAGCCCAGCCCATTGCTGCCTACAAAATTGTCTCTCAAACCAACAAGCAGTCAATAGCTGGCTCTGTCTCCATCACGTCCCTCTCCTCCAGGACTACAGAATTGCCGGCTGCTGATCCTTTTGCTTTAGCTCCCTTTCCTTCAAAATCAGGCAAGCAGAAACCTTAGGAGCAACACCTAAGTCTTTGGCCTCTGTCTCCACCCACCCCACCCCAATACCTGCCTCACTACTCCCAGCTGAGCCTTCTGAAGAAGAAATATATCAATTATTATCTTTCAGTTCCCTGTTGTCAGAGCAGAACGTCAGTGAAAAAACTCAGTTGCCATGATATTAAGTTGAAACCCTTTTAAGTTATGCTCATTTGTCCTGTTTATATTAATTTCTGGACTTCTAGACATTTCCATCTCCTTCATAGAGACCTTCATCTCCACCCAGAACCCACCCTGCTTTTTGCTGCAACTGTTTTAAGTCCAGGAATACATCCCCAATCCCAAAGGGGCCCATATTATTGCTAGTTTTAACTCCTGCAGTTTCTGTTCTGAGTCATGTTTATTGATGAATCACGATTAGTCCCTCCAGGACTGATGCAATACTCTTGAAAAGGAGAGATTTCTAGAAGGAAGCACAAGATAAAAATCCTGCACATCATGAGGAAGCGTAATCCTGAAGATACTAATCATGCCTGTAAACCAGCAGCTATCTGTCTGAGTCTTTGTCAGAGCCAGGCTGTCCCTTATGCATGAGTGTGTCTAGGGGTGTGTGATGTGCATATCCATTCCTGTGTAGGTTCATTACATATGCTCATTTTTAATGGTGTTGGCAGAGCATTCCTCACATCCATACATTTAAAATTAGTGTGAGTGTACAGGTGTGTTTGTGCATGTGCACAGGAAATGTTTTCCCTTTAGATAAGTTCTGTCCCACTATGCCTACCTCCACAATCAAATCACTCAATTTACTGGCATATGTTTGCTCACCTAACTGACTTGAACCCTGTTTTTGTTTGGTTCTTTTTTTCATGGCAAAATTGAATTCATTGGAAGATATAAGAAAATTCTAACTGAAACTGATGTTTCAGAGTAGATTTAATTCTCAAGAATAGTCCTAATTGCTATTAACAAATTGCACTTGCCTGGCCATGAAAAAATGAATTGTTGTTATGTATTTTCCTTTCAGGAGCTCTGGTGGTGTAGTGCCTAAGGCACTTGACTGCTAACCAGAAGCATGGCGGTTCAAACCCACCAGCCACTCCTCAGAAGGAAGGTTGGACAATCTACTTGTGTAGTGATAACCACCTTGGAAACCCAAGGTGGGGTCGCTATGATTCGGATGTGACTCAACGGCAGTGAGTTAGTTGTTTATTTTCCTTCCAGAGTGATAGAAAACAGTATCTTATTACAGTTTTAACCACTGGGTATGTGGTCTTAGTAGTGAAGTGCTCAGAAACCTTAGGTCTGAGCACTCAATGCTGTCATTGTGGAATGCATTATTCATGAGACTAGGCTGCAAGCTAGATTTGCTTGGGTTTTTTTGTTTTATTTTGTTTTGTTTTTTATTGCTTTTTCAAATCCTTGCCGTCTTTCTCTGCTACATTTTCAGGAAGGATAAATCTGAGACATGTAAAATAAATTTGTCTAGGAGAATGGAAGATTGCTAACTCAGCTAGCTATGAAAATCTTTAAATTCTCTGTCCTTTTCAGATGTTGAAGTAGGCCAGATAGGTGATTGACTTGTGTTTTTGAGAATGTCTCCATTTCTGGAAAGATTTGACTCATTTCTCATGTTTTTTTTTCCTACCTTTTATTAGTGCCTTAAAATAAAACCTATGTCTCAGTGGGAAGATTTCTGCTGAGGAAGTCAACTTCTTGTAAAGAGTTGCATAAAGCTTCAACTTGAAAACTTTGTGTGACTTCTAGTAAATGTGATTTCTCCATTAGCTGGAGAAACTGAGAGAGATGTTTATCAAGCCAGATTAATGTTTTAAGAATTACTAATGGTTCAATCCCGGGTTCTGGCACCAAAAAAAAAAAAAAAAAAGAATTACTAGAAATTTATCCACAAATCAAGCCTAAATGCCAACTCCCTTGCAATTGGTTAGATCAGATATTCCTTAAATTTGAAGATCAAGGATCCTGGGAGTAAAATACGAACAGCTGCTTTTTAAGACTTTCTAGTTTGTTGTTGTTGTTGTTATGTGCCTTCAAGTCAGACCCGACTTGTAGCAACCCCTCCTAGGGTTTGCGAGGCGGTATCACTACAGATGTAGATTGCCCAACCCTCCTTCTGAGGAGTGGCTGGTGGGTAATCAACACTGTAGCAGGGCTACCAGCAGTGCTTGTCCAGCCAAAGTCTCAATTGTTCCAGAAACGTGTCTTTTACTTTCAAAGAAACCAAACACACTGCCATCGAGTCAATTCCAAGTCAAAGTAACCCCCATTGGGTTTCTGAGGCAGTAAATCTTTACAGAAGTAGATTGCCCCATCTTCCTTCCATGGAGCAGCTGGTGGGTTTGAACCACCAACCTTCTGGTTAGCAGTCAAATGCCTTAGGCACTGAGCCACCAGACTCGTCTTTTATTTTGGTGGATGCTAAATATTCATTCTAAGGGCTTACGTCCTCCCACATATCATTTCTGATTTTAATTTATAACAGTAAATGCAAAACCATCCTTCTAGATGAATAAATAGTTTTGACCAGTGCACATGAGACTTTGCACCCAGAACTTTTCCCATGGTCATTATTGATGGAGTCCTCCAAGGCATGAGCTAAGAAGATAGTAATGTTCAGGAGGGATTCTCACCTTAAATCAGAAAATCTTACAAAGTAGAAATCATTCTAACGCAAATCTAAATGTTCCGATTACCTGTATAACAGTCCAACAAAATGTCTTTCCTTTGGTGATTTGATCACTCTCTCCTGATCAAGTGGCCATTTTAATTTGAAAGGTACAAATAAAAATAAAATCATGGTGATTTTATTATGTAATTGAATCATTTGTCAAGCATGGGCTTTTGTAACCTTTTTCATTTTCACAAGAGACTTGTGATAGGTGGAGACTCTAAATCCCTTATTTGAATAAGGAAATAAAATGTAAGTACATGCAAATTATTTTTAGTTTTTTCCTACCAAGGGATGCATGAAAAAAAGTTGACTTAGGTTACATTTGTTATTCACTAATTGGTGCATCTTACAGACATGTACTATATGATAGGGATTTATTCCCTTTCTCCTGACTTCCTTTGCAGCGAATAGAGTAAATTTATCATTTAACCCTTTCAAGACTGAATTTTCAGTTTTGAATTCTTTTTTGAAACCATGTTTTGTAATGTGAGACATTTTGAATGAAATGAAAACAATTTTTGTGGTAATAAGAATTTTGATACAATTGCTGTTGTTGTTGTTATGTGCCATCGAGTCAGACCCGACTCATAGCGACCCCTCCTCGGATTTCCGAGGCAGTATCACTACAGAAGTAGATTGCCCCATCTTCCTTCCGAGGAGTGGCTGGTGGGTTTGAACTGCCAGGCTTCTGGTTAGCAGTCAAATGCCTTAGTGGGGTATATATGCCTCGAGCCCTCTCGGGTGCTGGGGTTGTAATGAGCCAGGCCTGTTTCTTCAGATTCACGTAGTTATACAGGCTCCCACCAGATGGCAGCACCCACTAAAGGTGGGATAGCAGGTTTCCACTAAACCCCAGAGGCAGAAAATGTAGGTGAGCACTGTTTGTCCCATAAGCCACAAAAGGGTTAAAGATAAAATGTTCTTGCCAGAAGCAATCCTGAATCTGGACAATTCAGTTTTAAGGAAAATGAGGAGTGATCAGAGTGCTCTGAATTATCAAATGCATGTTTCCAACAACTATACTGCTACAGATTAAAAATTCTAAAAATATATACATAGTCAACAAAGTACTGTTACTTTCTTGTTTTAGTTTCCTTTATGTGCTATTTGTGTTACCCATCTGATATGGAATATAGGAACTTGTGTAGTGACCTTTAATTTCCATGGAAAACAATGAACCAGAATATATTTAGACAAAGCATTGTGCCACAACCTGCACTGGTGAACTCTAAAAGAAGTCATTGATTGACTCACTGGGATCATTGAGTGTATGAAGTTGCCTTTGTATGTTGAGAATTATTTACTATAACTGTTTCTTGTGCTTACATATAATCCTTTAGCTCCAAATCCTTGGTTAGATTGGAAAATGGAATGAATAAAATTTGGTGCTGAAGCAGATGCTAGACAAGACCTAATAGAATCCAGGCCTTATTTCTTGAGGGCCTATTCACAGTTGAGTTGAAATTTTCATATGTGTAGGCCAGTGGCACAATAGTTAAGCACTTATCTGCTAACCAAAGCCACTCTGTGGGAGAAACACCTGGTGATCTGCTCCCATAAAGATGATAGCCTACAAAACCCTCTGGAGCAGTTCTACTGTCACGTGAGGTCACTATGAGTTGAAATCAACAGAATACAGCAACAATTAGCAGACTAATGTGTATGTGTTTTCATATTCACATTAGGTCTCAGTTTAATGTGGCAACCAAGATCCCTTTTTAAACTTTCAAGAAAAATGCTAGTTTCTTATTGACCCATTTATTTATTTATTTTAGTAAGTTTTAGAATATTTGTGCATCAGTGTTTTCAACTACTTGGTGTACATTTCACTGACTCAAGGAAAGCAGCAGATTTCAGTTTTCTTTAAATGTTAACACCCAAGTAATCTGACAATAAAAATTCAATCATGCTGCATTTGCTTCCACCAAGAAAAATAAAATACGCACCATTATATAATACATATGTATTATGTCAAATAGGAAATTTTATTATAGGAAACTAGAGAAGGATAAGATCCAGTCTAAAATGGAGCCCTTTAATAAAGAAAGTTCTTCTCTGCTGTGTCTTTGAAATTGGAGAGCACATGGCAGTCAATACAGTGAAAGGGCTGTTGGCCACACAGATATAGTTTTACCTGAGATATATGGAACCCAAAGGAATTTGATGAAAGGTACATAGGACAGCTGCTGACAAGACTTTATCTTCTAAGGAACAGGGCCTCAATAATGTCCACACCTGCCCCTGAGTTCTGATTCTCCAACCCTGCCTGAAGGTGTAAACACTGAAGATTTTAAATGGAATTATGTAAGTTAAACTCATTTATTCC